CTTGTCACGTGGTAACCTTGGGAGACGTGTTCGTCAAAAGATTCAAGATGTGAAGGAAATTTACGATCGAGGTAGTTTCCCTGAAGGTCTTGTAATTGAAAGGTCTCCAGCTATTGGAATCACTTTGCCAACAGAGAATATGGTGGGCGAGGTTAATGTGAAGGAAAAAATTTGGGAATACTTAATGAGTCGCGAGGTTGGAATTATTGGAGTTTGTGGAATCGGTGGAGTTGGCAAAACCACTGTTATGAAACACATCCATAATGAATTACTGAATGAGGCTAGCAGGTTTCTGAAGGTTGTCTGGGTTACAGTATCACATCCTCTCAATGTTTTCAGATTGCAAGATGACATTGCTAGGGCAATGGGCAAAAATCCTTCAGATTGGGGGGATGAATTGAACCGGGCATCAAGACTGATGAAGGCTATGAAAACAGTTAAATATGCACTGATCTTAGATGATGTGTGGGATAAATTTACTCTTCACAGCATTGGAATCCCAGAACCAACAATGGAAAATGGGTGTAAAATTGTTATTACTAGCAGATCCATTGATGTATGCAACTACTTGAGATGTCAAGTAGTTAAAGTACCACCTCTACCAGAGCAAGAGTCTTTGAACTTGTTTTTAGATAAGGTTGGGCAAGATGTTCTACGAATTCCCAATTTGGAAGAGATTTTGAAGCTTATGGTGGCTGAATGCGCTGGTTTGCCATTGGCCATTGTTGTCATGGCGGGGAGCATGAGAGGAGTACAAGATATTTCTGAGTGGAGAAATGCATTACGTGAATTGCGTCAATGTGTGGTGGACACACAGAAAGATTCAGAAGATGAGATATTTAATCGTTTGAAGTTCAGTTATGACCGTCTACCAAAAAATTCAAGCATCCAAGAGTGTTTCTTATATTGCTCATTGTATCCGGAAGATTGGAAGATTAGAAGAAAAGACCTAATTGAAGCCTGGATTTGTGAGGGAATTGTTGAAAAATTAGGAAGCATAAGAGAAATGCATGATAAAGGAAATGCTATTTTAAATAGGCTTTTGAACTGTTGTTTGTTAGAGAAAGCCTATACAAAGGCGTGCGTTAAGATGCATGATGTTGTGAGGGACATGGCATTGCGCATCAAAAGGACGGGTCCTGGTAGGTTTATGGTAAAAGCTGGAATGAGGTTGACAGAGATACCGGATGAGGGTGAATGGAATGAAGATCTAGACAAGGTCTCCCTCATGAACAATGTAATATCATATATCCCTCAAAATATGTCCCCCAAATGCTTGATGCTCTCAACCTTGATTTTGGAGGGTAATTACGGATTGAGACAAATTTCAGAGTGTTTTTTTGCTAACATGCCCTTGCTGAAGTTTCTTGATCTTTCTAGAACTGACATTGAGGTTCTACCTAATTCCATATGTAACTTGGAATGTCTCACTGCACTGATCCTCTGTGAATGTAAGCGTTTAGAACGCATGCCTTCCTTGTCAAAGCTTAAAGCACTGAAGAAGTTGGATTTGAATAGAGCAGGCCTTCGTGAGGCTCCTGAAGGCATTGAAATGTTAGAAAATCTGGAATATCTTGAGTTATTTTGTCCAAACATGAGGGTGCCACCAAGAGAAAAAATCAGTAAGCTCTTCCGCCTCCAATACCTACTTAAACATCGGATTTTTCCAACTGAAATAAGAGGAGAAGAAGCAGCAGGATTGAAGATGCTGGAATGGTTTGCAGGTAGATTTGATTGGCTGAAAGACTACAACAGTTTTGTTAGCACGTTGAAACCTTTTGGAAGACCCTGTCATTACTTTATCAAAGTGGGACGCACAGACAGAGATGAGAAGGGGCATTTTTGGAAGTTCAGCAATAAGTATCTTCCTAAACGGGTAATTTTAATCGGATGCGAGATAGGAGAAGAAGATGAGTTGGTCCTTCCAGATGACCTTCAGGATTTGAGGATTAAAGACTGCAATGCGGCCGGTGATATTTCTATTTTTCAGAAAGATCCTACTCAATTGCAAACATGTACTTTGGTAGACTGCCGAGGGATAGGGTGTGTGGTCTCTTTGTCATCATCTTCATCTACTTCCTTGACAGTTATGAATAACCTTGAACTACTATTTCTTGAGGGTTTGGCTAGCTTGCGGGATGTTGTGAAAGTGGAAAAAA